TCTACTTTTAGCGTTCGTCCCTCAAAAAGACACTGTCCCTCTTCTCGGTGCGCCCTTGCTACCAACGCGGTGGGTAAAGATCTCGACATATTTGCAGACGGAGCGGTTTCTCTGAATCATATTTTACAAGCATGTACCAAACCTCTTACGGTGTTACTTGATTAGTGTTTTCATTCACTACAAATGTGTATACCTCGGCTAACTATAATTTTCTTATGTAATTGGTTTTAATTTATTGACTTGTTATTAATTTTATGCTATCACTCCCAGTTGTCTTATCTTAGTATTTAGTTACTAATAGTATTAGCAACACTCGTAATACTTCATAAATGTATGTATATATTTAAGTCTTCTTTAGATTTATGCTCACAGATTTATTTCTGTCATATTTGTATTTTGTTTTAATTATTTTTCTGTGCCTAATATACTCTTGCTAACTTTGTAATTTGCCACTGTGCTGTTAAGTTTGCGCGTAAATAAACATGAATTGAATTGAATTATCGATCGTCCTGTTTTTATCTAAAACACAATCCTGTTTATTTTTTATTTATTTTTTTAAGATTAGAGACAGGACGATGGATAACGCCCATAAACACAGTATCTGTACTAATGTACTATCGTCACAAATCTTTAGATCTTATTTACTCATGCCTATGTTCTTTGTTGTTTCTGATTAACTTAGAGGACACAGAACTGCTGTTTTTTTAAACTTTTTTTTCCATCATCGGGTATTCTAGAGAACAGAGAACACGACGTTTCGGAAACTGGATCTGTTCCCGTCTTCAGATGACACATACTCAGTTGGGTCCCTTAGAAAGAGCTAATCTCAATCATGGGCAACCCCTGTCAGAGTCACACAGCTATTTGATCAATTGAGGCCAGGCTGTGTATAGCTTTATATATCTAACAATTCTGTGTGTTATGCACCATCGTCGGCACCCTTTAGAATATATTAGTTAAGGGAGACTGCAAGAAAATTCCATAATGACAACCCTAATATTGTAAGATTTGAGGCTTTCACGGCGATGACTATGAAGAAAGCAGTTTTCTGGGATTTGGCACCGTGTATCCACATATACACGGTGC